TCAACCATTAGATAAAGCTGAACACATTCTTTCGCCCGTAGCAACAGCTTTGTTATTTTATTCATGTTCGCGTTTACCTGCACTACAACGTCCAAGATTTCCAAAAGGCGTCATAGAATGGAAGTGGTGGTATGTGGCCCTTCCTGCTTCCCTTTCTCTTCCAACATTGTTGTTGATCATTAATCTATTGATGATCTTTTGTGGACCTTGCCCCTCTGGCATGTGCGCAGCGTCCCAGTACGTTCCTGTTTGCTCAGACGAATCAAGATTGAAGCTTCTAAGAAGGTTGCCTTTCATGCTTTTTCTCTCTGTTCAGAAACAATTTGCCGTCTGTGCGGCCGAGCGTGCAAGACAAGCCAAGCTCGGGCCAACCATGAGAAGTTCTGCGTAAGTACGACCCATCAAAGATGTCCTCATGTGTCGAATGATTCAACTTATATATGCGACTATGCGACTTGTATATGTTCTAGACACTGAACCCAGAACGGCCAAGGCTTCGGCCCAGCCTGCCTTCTGTGTCGACAACTACCAGCCTGCCTACCCAGTTGCCGCCTCTCCCTGCCCGCCCTCCCCTTTCTTCCAGGGCCACTACCGTCGTCACCGCCCGCATCCACCACCACGTCAGCTTCGACTTCTCCCACCACGACGACTAGTCTTCCCTTCCCACCACTCTTAAGAGCGCCGGGCCACGTCAGCATCAGTGCAGGTGTACACCACCAGCACATCAACCACTTTAATGCAGGGATGGGATCCCCCTACGAGCAGGCGGGCAGCCCGGCCATCGTGGCCCTGCAGCGGAACGACCAGGTCACACTGCGGCTGCGGATCCAGGCGCGCACTTCGTTCACCGGCCTAGCCCTGTCCGTGCTGGTTGTGGGCGCCCAGAGCAACTCGTCCTCTTCGGCCGATGTGTTCTGGGACCTCGAGCGCCTTGACCTGCCGCCGCACCACCACCAGGCTGATGGCGCAGCGCTGTACCACATCGCCACTTATGCTCTGGACGACCTCAAGTGGACACGACTGGATGATGAGGGAATGGCCACCGCCACGCTGCACGTGACCGTGCTCGAGTCCAACGTGGTCATCCTGCGGCACAAGTTGGTCTACGAAAGGTCGACGTCGCAGACCACCAACACCAGCGTTGCTCACTCCCCACCTTGAATGTACAGAGACAATTTTGAATGAGATGTAGTTCGGTGGATAAGCACATGGCAGGGAGCCAAACGGAAATAAAGCTGTGAGAAGTTAAACCGTCTATTGTCAAATAGCGCATGTCTGGTGCTTTTCTGGAATTTGAACCGGAAAAATCAGCCATAGCAACAGCAGGCCTGACAGGATACACTTGCCTTGCTGTACCAATGAAAAGTGGCAAAATTAAATGTAACCAAGCAAGCAAATTCATGTGGCAAAAATTATTGGTACCACAAGGGCAAGCATATCCTGTCTGTCAGTGTTCATCAGGTGAAGTGCAGAAGAGTAAAGAATGAGTGCAGAAGCTGGTGCACATTATAAAGTGAAAGGTACACCACCCCACCCAACTGCTGCAGCTGTTGCTGCTGCCACCATTGCTGCTGATACAACACTACAACACACAACTTATCTCTTTACATGGTCAGGTGTGGGCAGTGTAACCACAGCTACCATGTCAAGTGTTTGTGGCTGCCACTGAGTGACAAGGCATCATTGCCACCCCAGAGTGGTGGTGCTATGACTGCATGCAATGCTCCCACTGTGACACACCACTAGATGAGGAGCACAATGTTGCCCTTGGCACTCTGTGTATGTTAGTCCTCTGCTTGCTCTTCTTCCCTCACATTGTCATGCCCCAATAACAACAGAGTGAAGATGTGGTTGTGCATGGTGTACTACAGTGCAAACAGGAGCACGCCACTGAGGGATCACACAGCACAGAGGCTGCATGGTGTGTTCATCATCTTGCCCATCTGCACATGTTTTGCTTGGTTGCTGACACAGCCTACCTGCTCACACACAAATTTGGCCAGCCTACATGATCTCTGGCCCATCTCTGGCCCAGCTGTGCTGCAGGTGCCTGGCCCCTCATGGCATTGAACACAAATTTGTTGTTCACAAAGGAGCACATCAACACCAATGATCCAGCATGGGCACCAGAGTTTCTCTTCATCTTTGGCGACTGTGATGGCTGCTCCCTGCGCCTGAACATCCTCTTCCATGATTTGGAGCTTGTGGATCTGGATCTTTGATATTGACATGCTAGACCGCCACTGATAAGTGATATTGAGGGACTTGAGATGAAAAAGATTTCATAAAAACTTGGAATGTGTAGTTAAAAGTGTTTTTATATGTGAGATGGACCTTTGTTGTGGTGGAATTTTATCTTCAGGAATAGTGCTCCAATTCAGCACAAATGTGAAGAATGAAGTTCCATCCATGTGTGCAACTGACTGAATATGGTGTGAGGTTGACCATGAACTGGAGCATGTTGGCCACTGATTATGGATCATGTACATGTATGCATTAAACTAAGTATTGGTAGGTTGAACATGTAGTCATCATGTACATATATGCCATAAAGTAAGTCCTTTCTCACCAGCAATTGCCACAATGGCTCCATCATCTGGCTTCACCAAAGTCAGCTCAAGTGTAGCACTTCCAGTGAGACTGATGGCAGCATTGATGGCCAATCCAATGGCTCCAGGTTGGAGAGAATAACATAACAAGCGCTCACACCCATCTCTAAATTTCTATTGTGTACACACATGCAACAACAAAATCAGCTCTGGCTGGAGCAACACATCAATGATGTAGCACTGCCTGTCAATGTCCCGCACCACAGCCTTGAGCTTGGCCCCTTCAGTCAGCTCCTCATTATCTTCCTACAATCCTAAGTAGTAATAAATCCATGCCATGCAACCAGGCCTGGAATACAAAATAAGATTGTGGATTACACCAAAAATATACAGAAATTATCTGGAAAATTAACATTATTGTCCATAAAGTGTTGTTAAACAGTGGCGTTTTCACACATCACCTATAATAAGTATATATTATTTGTGGAAGCTAAAGCATCTGTGTTTGGGGCAAATTTTTTCGTAGGAATTTGTCTGTTCTGTGTGAAAACTAATGTAATCTTGGCAGGTCACAATAAAAGACTTATACATTACAGATATATATAGTTGTGTTTGTGTTACCAAGTGGTTGCCAGTTAACTCTCCCAGTTCTCCCAGTGGCCATGCATAGGTTGGCTCAGCCCTTGAGCTCATCAACTCACTCATGAAAATTGTGAAGGATGTCCTTGGGCTACAGGTGAATCAGATCAATGAAATCAGAAATTTCATGAACTCCTACAAAGTGACAGCCTGTGACAGGAAAATCCACACACCAGGTATTATCCAATCACATGAAGGTGGAGAATGTGGATGACATCTTGTGCCTCACATTCCCATTCTTTAATGTTGACAAAAAAGACAGAAAGAAGAAGATCTAAATGGAATAAACATTTTATTCATTTCTTACACATTTACCCCAATCTTATCTAGACAATTCTTTACCATTTCTTTTTTTTTCCACAGAGACAAACACCATGGTTGCACTGGGCGTGAGGGGAGGCAGGACATAGAGTGAGGAGGGAGAGAGGTAACATCCTGTTGAGTTCTAGATTAGGCCTTGGAGGCTCTTCATAAAGTTGCCTGCTGCTTGAGCCTGGTGTCATGCCTGCATGCACACACAAACCTGCAGTGACTCTTAGCCTTGCTTAGGGGAGCACTTGTGAGCCAGAATCTTGCTGCCTGCAAGCAGCTAAGCAAGTAAGCAGGTATCTACACTAAACTTTTCTGCTGAAGGATGTACCTGGTGCAGGCTGAAATGGAAGAAGGGGAAGCCACAATAGCACCAGTACAAACCAGACCACTAGTGCCAAACCAGGTAAGCTGCTTCAGGCTTGGATTCAGAGCTGGGAGAGAAGGCAAAGGCTTTAACCCTTGAAGCAGAGCTAGGATTCTTCTTCTCCTCCTTCTACTTCTCCTGGAGCAACAATGGTGAGAAGAGCAGGCAGTGGCAATCAATGGGTGGTGACAGCACCACTATTCCTACATTCACAAGGGGAGAATTCAAGTTTGTACCATCTTGCCTTATGGGTGCAGCTCCTTCTGGCGTTCCCTGCAACATGTAGAGGACAGTGGAGCATCACAAGCTGCTATACCATGGTTAAGAGAGCTATACCTCTTGCCTTCACATTCTGCCAGCATCAGTGGCAGGCTGCCACATCCCTGCTGGCTCTTGCCCATCTTCTTCATGTTTGATGGTGTCCCTCTGTAGCAAGAGGCGCCAAGCCACATTCATGGGCAGGTATGCTGGTGTAGCATGTTTGAAATTAGCAATTTCAATTTTCCTTGAAAATTTGGAATCATCACTGGGCCAACAAAGAAGATGATGGTGGAGGATGATGCAGTGAAGTTGAAGTTCAACATCAAGCATACTCATGGGTGGGAGTGCGTATGTGGTGTCTTCTCATGCCAATGCAGTCTACTGCACTCCTTTCCCCCTCTCCTTGGAAAGTGCTAATCTGCTGATGCAAAATAGACAAAAGAAAAGACCCCTTCTTGAACTTTTCCTTCAAAGAAAAGAAACAAAAAGAAAATGATTTATTGGGGTGGGGGTGGGAGGCATGGCCAATCATGGGGAATGATGTTGATTAGGGGCAGGCCTGCTCATGCTGATGAGATGTCTTGCATTCCCTGTCTCATGTACACATGTGCCATATTGGGCAGTCACAGAGAGTTGAGAAGGCCATCAGGGGGTGGGTGACAGCCTTGATTTTGACCTGGAC